AGAGAGAGAGAGAGAGAGAGAGAGAGAGAGAGAGAGAGAGAGAGAGAGAGAGAGAGAGAGAGACTGATAGAGAGAGAGAGAGAGAGAGAGAGAGAGAGAGAGAATGTGTGTGGGAGAGAGATAGAGAGAGACAGGAAGAGAGAGGAGGGGGCAGTATGGTAAAGTAGAGAGAGAGATAATGTGTGGGAGAGAGAGTTAAGAAAAAATAATGAGAAACATCACATGGTATACTTCAATGATCCAGTTTGGACTTGCTGACTTTGAGCTTCATGCTTTGAGAGACTGACAATTTTTTAGGTTAAAATAGCATGGCTGTTATTTACAGAGTCACCTACATGGAGTACCATAATGATCGATTGGTATCTTAACATCAGTAAACAAAACTTGTGATAAACTTGTGAAAAGGAGAACCTTAAAGCCCATAGCTGTTGCATAAGTACAGTTTAGGACCTGTCATAATGAATGGGTGCAGACTGGATCATTGAGTGTACCACTCCATGATAAAAAGGGGTTAATGTATCAGTGCAAAAGTTTACTAGGCATCAAGTTCTTGTATTTTTACACATGTATTTGTATATAGATATTCTACACTCTATTTTCTGTACTATTTCAGCCCACCGGGCTCTGCTAGTCATCAGTAAGGCCATCACCCTGTCACTGTCTAGTTTGTTAATTTTATTTCTTACCCATTTCTTGTTAAAATTGAAAATCCGTCTTTTTATATACATATCATAGTGCATGCTGAACCTACAGAGAAAATGTGTGTCTGCAGTTACTTACACTTAATACTCAATACTTAGATGTATGTATGTATGCATAAATGCGAATGCCTTCATGTGCAAACATGCATGCACTTTTGTTAGCATCCTTTGCTGCAAAAAAATAAATAAATAAATAAAACTGCAGAAATGTAATTAGTACGTGTACATGCAAAATTGCTGTCTGCATGTTTACACGAATAAAAGCTTATTCTAGGTAGTGTTCAGGATCATAGATTTTTGTTTTTGTGTTTCTTTTCACTTGTGAGTATTATGCATTCACACAATATTTACCACCACGCATACACACATATATATTTGTGCACACACATGCAAAACACACACACACACACTTTAAATAAAATTGTACGTTTCCTTGCCTATATGATTAGTCCAAAGCTTTGACACTTTCCTTACACAAAGCTATTTAACTCACTGAAGAAAGTTTTAGCATTTTTCAAACTCCTATCAGCTTTAAATTTATTTTAAACCCAATAGTTTCCTTGCATATAAAGTTTCATAAGCTTTATGTATTGGTTTTCAGATTCAAAAACAAGTGACTGGTTCATTATATTAGACTGTTTTATTTTATCAGCTTTTGTATGTACAGTTCTTTTAGTTTTTGTTTTTGTTTCACTGCTTCTGACATCAAAGTTTAATGCTTATGTCATGCCTCCAGCCCAGTTATTGCCCCGTCTTCTTGATTTTCTTTAATTTAGGTTAATCATTATGCATGTTATTATTACTATAATACTTTGGTTACTGTCACATTTTCATAAACAAGCATATGTTTTATTTTATTTTATATTTGTCTTGATCTTTGAATATTTGAATTCATCACTCAGAGATATCTTAAAGACAACTTTACAAAGCACCTTCTGGACTGAATATTGCCATTTGAAAAGAAAGACTGCATTCACAATGAGTTGAGCCATCGCTCTATGGCGGACGTACATGAAAGAAAAATCGCCTTATCTTTTAATAGTCTCTCCGCCTCTCACACGCCTCCCCACGCGTCGTCCCTGCGGGGGTACAGTCATTAAATCTCGGCTCCATTGGGACGACACATGGGGAGGCGTGTGAGAGGCGGAGAAACTATTAAAAGATTAGGCGTTTTTTCTTTCATGTATGTCCGCCATATTTAGTTCTTGGATTTGTAGAGCCATGGCTCAATTTTTAACTCGTTGTGAATGCGGTCAAAGAGAAGCCTTTATTATTTTAAGCATCTTGAAACTTGTATGTAAACTTTGCATGACATCACACCTGCTCCCTTTTATCTATACTTTTGTTTTTGGTTACAGTAGCCACGAAACTGTGACAAGAGCCCGGTCAAGCGAGGATAGTTTTGCCCCTTTTGACTTCACTTATGACGACACCCTGGAAGAAATCATAGACAAACAAATCCCATCCCTAAGGTTCCATGGGATCATTAGAAGGGATGAACTGGTAGCCCTGATCAAGAATAGGATATACTACTTTGAAAGTAACTTGGTGAGTGAAAAGTATTTGAACACAGCTTCCTAGAAGTTTTCTGTCACTTCAGTTTACAGCTGGTGTTAATTATTGACATTTTTATTTTTATAGTTCCAGCATTCAGATGTCTGTGTGTCTAAATGGGGTTGGGTTGGAGGAGGGGCATGACTGCTTTCATGGTGGTTTTGGAGAAACCTTGGGAAAAGGGGTCAAGTTTTCATTTTCAGATAATAATGAAGGTAAACAATGTAATTTATCCAAATCGAACTGGTGAGATGCACTGGAAAACATTGAACATTGCAGAATTTTTACACAAGTGGTTATTGTTTAAAGATAGGTGGCTCTATACATCAGTAGGATCCCTACTCTTGGCACGTGGAATTCTTTTGATATAAACTGAAACAATTTTTTGTGATTCAGGGCTTGGAATAAGGGATTTAAAGCCAGGTTTTTAAACTCCAAATTCATTTTCTCACTGAGACAGACTGTCTGGACTCTGTATGCTGTATATGATAAAAATATTTAAAAAATGGCCATCCAAAATAGGAGTGCAAAAGATAGCTTGGTAGCTGTCTGACTAACCCCCTGCTTGAAATTGTATTTAGTAGATATGGTCCATTTTCTGCTTTGTATCCAGTGATTGTGTTCAGGTGTCTGTATGTTGACAGCCAACTACTGAAATGTGTTAGATGAGATTTCAATATTGTGTTTTGTGAATTGTGAGAGCTAAATACATATGCGCATTGGTATAAGATGATGTGTTGTTGATGTCATGAAAAAATGTAGTCATCAAGGAGAATCTGTTCTGTTCTGTTTTGAAATTTATATCCTCAAATCCAACTCCCCCCCACCCTCCACTTCCTGGAGTTATGCTATATTGTTGAAAACTGTGGAGGGCTGGGGGGAGGCGGAGATATATGCACTCCTAACCCCTTACCACTCCTTCGTTAAGTGAACCATTGCATGCATTCTTTACATTTTCACACTGCATAAAAATGCAATTTGGCTATCACAAAAGGAAAGTCGACAAATTAACGCTATGAAAATCTTATATTATTCCTCTGTAATAGGCACTTAGAGTACCTGCTTTTGCCATATTTCTGGTGGTAAGCACTTCAAGGAGCCCATAGTTTTCAGTGTCTTCAGCTTATCCTATATCTGGCTATTTTTTTATATTCATGGGTAAAACAAGGATATGGGTATGCTTGTAGAGTACAAAGTCTGGGTCATGTGAGTGGGGAGAGATGAAATTTAAGCGTCACGGTTGCACCATCATCACGTTCTGTTTTCAGTTTTTGGAGGACATATTTTTGAGACAATGCATGTACATCTGCCATAACACTACTAGTAAATGTTATTCTGGAGATTATGAAGTGCAGATTTGAAGACTGATTGTGCAGTTTTCAGGTTTTGGAAAAACGTATTTATGATATAATTATAATTTTGAGAAATAGAATATTAAAATATCAAAGGCATCATTAATTTTATCTATCTTCTATGCCAACCAACCTTTACAATTGGGATTTTTTGTTTGTTTGTTTGCTTATAAATGAAGAAATTAAAAATTTTGTATTTTGTTATATTTTACTTTTTTTTGTTAAAACACTGATTAATGAATGAAAATATTAGTCTCATGGCAGAACATTTTAGTTTGCCATCATTTAAAATATACTCATTGTAAATATTTGTTGCCAATTTATAAAAGTCCTTGTTCTTAGAATTGCTTTTAAATAAGGTAAATATTATATACAGTATGCTGAGTCCAAGGATAAGTTTGATCATGTAGTATAAGGTGGATGAGGTTATGGAAATATCACTTCTTTGAAACCCTGAAGTTTTCTATGACCGTTCTGAAATCATGTCACATAGGCAATAAGCAATAAAATTACACTTTAATGACATCTAAATCTATGACAGTACAGCATATGCAAGGAGAAGTCAAAATGTTCACATCAGCAAGAAAGCTTTACTGCTATTTTAAATTTTTATTACTCACACTGCTAACTGGGAACTTAAATAAATACTAGTTATATGGTTATTTGGCAAATGAGATAGCTTTATATATTAAGTGACCTTGAATTATGAAAAAGCTCTGTTTTAAGAGGTTCTCTAGCTGTTAGTTCATTTCTTGATAACTCCAACAGAGACCACTACAGCATACAGTGTGCACGATAATACATTAAATGCATGTTTATAACTGAGTTTTTTTTAATTCCATATGAAATACAGTGCTGTATCTAAAATAAAGATCATAAACTATTTAAAGATGGTTGTTATAAGTTTAAAATCTAATTTATCCGGAACAGCTTAAATAATGTACATGGACTCAGTTTTAGTGAAGAAAATTTCAAAACTATTAAAATCTCGAGGTCACTCTAAATATGGTTGCTGCGACTCTTTTTTTTTTCTTTTTTGTTAGTTACATACTTGTACTTTACTTGTATGCATCGTCATTGCTATAACAAATCAAAATCAAGCATTTACACAATCGAAGAAAAAAAATTTACAATACTAAGAATGATTTCCATATCTTTACAAGTGTTTTCTCTGAGCTCTAATATGTCAGTGTATCATAGAGGTTAGAAAGTTGAGTAACGTTTTGAAAGACAGGTCAAGGACAGAGGTGCCCCTTTAAATTTACTTGTGAAATTACATACAGGTCAAGGTCACAGGCTCCATTAAAATTTTATTTGTGAAGTCTTATTTGATGGTTTCACAAAGGTAAAACTTTCTTGAAACGTTTCATCTTTATCATAATAAGCATATGCATGCAAACAAATAAAGTTTCAAAATACAAGTCTTTTTGTTAGAATCAGTGGAGTGTCTTGTCCTTTTTTCTTCTTTTTCTGTTTTTTGTCTCGAGTCTTGATAGTTTACACTTGGAAGAAAAGCAGGCAGAAAATGAATACAGGTATTTATACCATGTTCAGTAAAAGCAACTACTACTTCTTGAGTTGTCATCTACAACTTTTTCTATGATTAAAACTTGTGCCACAGGCTGTCGTGAAGTGCTTTCTGTGTTGTCCACTAGGTGTCAGCAGTGCATAGAGAGATCACATGTCCTTTATTATGCTGAGTATCTGGAAAAATAAAAGAAAAATATTAAGGACTTGGGTTTATTCATTATTTATTGAAGTAGGAGAGGATAGAGGGAGTATGACAAAAAAAATGAATGCATGTGTGGTTGTGTGTGTAAGAGAGAGAGAATGAGAGAGAGAGGAAGAAGGTTGGGAATAAAAGAAAAAATAAAGAGCAGAGAAACATAGGGATTAAGTATCATTTTTAGATATTTAATTGGCAATGCATATTTTCTTTGCCATACATGTATATCAGATATGGATTAAGCTTATGGTAGAAAATATTTTCAAGTAGAATTATTTATCTTAGACAACCAAGTTAAGTACTAGTATTGTCTTTCTGGCAGAGAATTTTTTAATTAAATATTTAAATCTTAAATTAATTTAAATTTTACTATACCAGACCTGTAGCAGACAAGACATGACAAAGTCTTTTTTTATCTAATAATTACTGCTACAATAAAAATATATCTGACTCAAAAACATACTTACATAAAATATCTCTGAAAGTTTACAATCATGGATACATTCTCAGATGGTTTTCTTTTCATAATAATCTCTCAGCACTGCGTAGACATGTTTTAATGTATCTTCGGCACTGGATTGGGCTTTTTTCGAAACATCTTTGGAGGCGGCCTTTGATAAGTTCTCGTCTTTGGTGTCTGCATCGTAGAGCCGGCGCAACAAAGAGACCAACTTTGTATCAGAGTCTGAAGACGCGTCTGAGTTGGAAACTGTAAATGTAATTGAAATAATGGAGTGAAATTATCTTGTGACACAAGTATAAAGATTTATATCACCTTGTACATCATTTTTATGTAAGGAAGGTGAGGCTNGAGAGAGAGAGAGAGAGAGAGAGAGAGAGAGAGAGAGAGAGAGAGAGAGAGAGAGAGAGAGAGAGAGAGAGAGAGAGAGAGAGAGAGAGAGAGAGAGAGAGAGAGAGAGAGAGAGAGAGAGAGAGAGAGAGAGAGAGAGAGAGAGAGAGAGTATGTGTGTGGGAGAGAGAGAGAGATAGAGAGAGACAGAAAGAGAGAGGAGGGGGCAGTATGGTAAAGAGAGAGAGATAATGTGTGGGAGAGAGAGAGAGTTAAGAAAAAATAATGAGAAACATCACATGGTATACTTCAATGATCCAGTTTGGACTGGCTCACTCTGGGCATCATGCCTTGAGAGACTGACAATTTTTTTAAGTTAAAAAAGCATGGCTGTTATTTAACATAGTCACCTACATGGAGTATCATTGCCTGACTTGGCCAGTTAATTATCTTAAGATCAGGAAGCAAACTTGTAGAAAACTTGTGAAAAGGAGAACCTAAAAGCCCCTGGCTGTTGCATTAGTACAGTTTAGGACCTGTCATAATGAATAGGTATATGCAGACTGGATCATTGAGTGTACCACTCCATGATAAAAAGGGGTAAATGTATCAGTAAAAAAGTTAACTAAGCATCAAGTTCTTGTATTTTTACACATGTATTTGTATCATAGGTATTCTACACTCTATTTTCTGTACTATTTCAGCCCACCGGGCTCTGCTAGTCATCAGTAAGGCCATCACCCTGTCACTGTCTAGTTTGTTAATTTTATTTCTTACCCATTTCTTGTTTAAATTGAAAATCCGTCTTTTTATATGCATATCATAGTGCTTGCTGAACCTACAGAGAAAATGTGTGCCTCCAGTTACTTACACTTAATACCCAATACTTAGATGTATGTATGTATGCATAAATGCGAATGCCTTCATGTGCAAACATGCATGCACTTTTGTAAGCATCCTTTGCTGCAAAAAAATAAATAAATAAAACTGCAGAAATGTAATTAGTACATGTACATGCAAAATTGCTGTCTGCATGTTTACATGAATAAAAGCTTATTCTAGGTAGTGTTCAGGATCATAGGTTTTTGTTTTTGTGTTTCTTTTCACTTGTGAGTATTATGCATTCACACGATATTTACCACCACGCATACACACATATATACTTGTGCACACACATGCAAAACACACACACACACACACTTTAAATAAAATTGTACATTTCCTTGCCTATATGATTAGTCCAAAGCTTTGACACTTTCCTTACACAAAGCTATTTAACTCACTGAAGAAAGTTTTAGCATTTTTCAAACTCCTATCAGCTTTAAATTTATTTTAAACTCAATAGTTTTCTTGCATATAAAGTTTCATAAGCTTTATGTATTGATTTTCAGATTCAGAAACAAGTGACTGGTTCATTATATTAGACTGTTTTATTTTATCAGCTTTTCTATGTACAATTCTTTTAGATTTTGTTATTGTTTCACTTCTTCTGACATAAAAGTTTAATGCTTATGTCATGTATCCAGCCCAGTTATTTCCCCGTTTTCTTGATTTTCTTTAATTTAGGTTAATCATTATGCATGTTATTATTATTATAATACTTTGGTTACTGTCACATTTTCATAAACAAGCATATGTTTTATTTTATTTTATATTTGTCTTGATCTTTGAATATTTGAATTTATCACTCAGAGATATCTTAAAGACAACTTTACAAAGCACCTTCTGGACTGAATATTGCCATTTGAAAAGAAAGACTGCATTCACAATGAGTTGAGCCATCGCTCTATGGCGAACATACATGAAAGAAAAATCGCCTAATCTTTTAATAGTCTCTCCGCCTCTCACACGCCTCCCCACGCGTCGTCCCTGCTGGGGTACAGTCATTAAATCTCGGCTCCATTGGGACGACACAAGGGGAGGCGTGTGAGAGGCGGAGAGACTATTAAAAGATTAGGCGGTTTTTCTTTCATGTATGTCCGCCATATTTAGTTCGTGGATTTGTAGAGCCATGGCTCAATTTTTAACTCGTTGTGAATGCGGTCAAAGAGAAGCCTTTATTATTTAAAGCATCATTGAAACTTGTATGTAAACTTGGCATGACATCACGCCTGCTCCCTTTTATCTATACTTTTGTTTTTGGTTACAGTAGCCACGAAACTGTGACAAGAGCCCGGTCAAGCGAGGACAGTTTTGCCCCTTTTGACTTCACTTATGACGACACCCTGGAAGAAATCATAGACAAACAAATCCCATCCCTAAGGTTCCATGGGATCATTAGAAGAGATGAACTTGTAGCACTGATCAAGAATAGGATATACTACTTTGAAAGTAACTTGGTGAGTGAAAAGTATTTGAGCACAGCATCTTACAAGTTTTCTGTTACTTCAGTTTACAGCTGGTATTAATTGCACTGATGACTTTTGTCGGAATTCTGACTTTTTCAGGGTCATTTGGGTCATTCTTGTGAATTGTGTACCCTGGACCCTCAGCCAATTTTCCTACTTTTTCAGTAAAGACTGGTCTCATCCCTGTAAATGTCAAAGCTTTTATTTGTTTAGCTCCAATATTCTGATGTCTGTCTGTCTGTCTGTCTGTCTGTCTGTCTATTGGGTTGAAGGATGGGCATGACTGCCTTTATGGTGGTTTTGGAGCAACCTTTGAAACAGGGGTCAAGTTTTCATTTTCAGATTATAACAGTGGTATAATTTATCCACATCAAATTGGTGAGATGCAGTAGAAAACATTGAACACTGCAGTATTTTTACGCAAGTGGTTATTGTTTTAAGATAGGTGGCTCTATATCAGCAGAGTCCCTGCTCTTGGTGGAATTATTTTGATATTAGCCAAAACTTTTTTTTTGTGATTCAGGGCTTGGATTAAGGATTTTAAGCCAGGGTTTTGAAACTTAAAATTCATTTTCTCGCTGAGACAGACTGTCTAGACTCTATGCTGTATATGGTAAAAATATTAAAAAATGGCCATCCAAAATAGGAGTGCAAAAGATAGCTTGGTAGCCTGACTAACCCCCTGCTTGAAACTGTATTTAGTAGATATGATCCATTTTCTGCTTTGTATCCAGTGATTGTGTTCAGGTGTCTGTATGTTGACAGCCAACTACTGAAATGTGTTAGATGAGATTTCAATATTGTGTTTTGTGAATTGTGAGAGCTAAATACATATGCCCATTGGTATAAGATGATGTGTTGTTGATGTCATGAAAAAATGTAGTCATCAAGGAGAATCAGTTCTGTTCTGTTTTGAAATTTATATCCTCAAATCCAACTCCCCCCTACCCTCCACTTCCTGGAGTTATGCTATATTGTTGAAAACTGTGGAGGGCTGGGGGGGGAGGCGGAGATATATCACTCCTAACCCCTCACCACTCCTTCGTTAAGTGAACCATTGCATGCATTCTTTACATTTTCACACTGCATAAAAATGCAATTTGGCTATCACAAAAGGAAAGTCGAGTAATTAACGCTATGAAAATGTTGTATAATTCCTCTGTAATAGGCACTTACAGTACCTGCTTTTGCCATATTTCTGGTGGTAAGCACTTCAAGGAGCCCATAGTTTTCAGTGTCTTGAGCTTATCCTATATCTGGCCATTTTTATATTCATGGGTAAGACAAGGATATGGGTATGCTTGTATAGTACAAAGTCTGGGTCATGTGAGAGGGGAGAGATGAAATTTAAGCGTCACGGTTGCACCATCATCACATTCTGTTTTCAGTTTTTGGAGGACATATTTTTGAGACAATGCATGTACATCTGCCATAACACTACTAGTAAATGTTATTCTGGAGATTATGAAGTGCAGATTTGAAGACTGATTGTGCAGTTTTCAGGTTTTGAAAAAACGTATTTATGATACAATTATAATTTTGAGAAATAGAATATTAAAATATCAAAGGCATCATTAATTTTATCTATCTTCTATGCCAACCAACCTTTACAATTGGGATTTTTTGTTTGTTTGTTTGCTTATAAATGAAGAAATTAAAACTTTTTTATTTTGTTATATTTTACTTTTTTTTGTTAAAACACTGATTAATGAATGAAAATATTAGTCTCATGGCAGAACATTTTAGTTTGCCATCATTTAAAATATACTCATTGTAAATATTTGTTGCCAATTTATAATAGTCCTTGTTCTTAGAATTGCTTTTAGATAAGGTAAATATTATATACAGTATGCTGAGTCCAAGGATAAGTTTGATCATGTAGTATAAGGTGGATGAGGTTATGGAAATATCACTTCTTTGAAACCCTGAAGTTTTCTATGACCGATCTGAAATCATGTCACATAGGCAGTAAGCAATAAAATTACACTTTAATGACATCTAAATCTATGACAGTACAGCATGTGCAGGGAGAAGTCAAAATGTTCACATCAGCAAGAAAGCTTTACTGCTATTTTAAATTTTTATTACTCACACTGCTAACTGGGAACTTAAATAAATACTAGTAATATGGTTATTTGGCAAATGAGATAGCTTTATATATTAAGTGACCTTGAATTATGAAAAAGTTCTGTTCTAAGAGGTTCTCTGTAAGTTCATTTCTTGATAACTCCAACAGAGACCACTACAGCATACAGTGTGCACGATAATACATTAAATGCATGTTAATATCTGAGTTTTTTAAAATTCCATATGAAATACAGTGCTGTATCTAAAATAAAGATCATAAACTATTTAAAGATGGTTGTTATAAGTTTAAAATCTAATTTATCCGGGACAGCTTAAATAATGTACATGGACTGAGTTTTAGTGAAGAAAATTTCAAAACTATTAAAATCTCGAGGTCACTCTAAATATGCTTGCTGCGACTCTTTTTTTTTTTCTTTTTTGTTAGTTACATACTTTACTTGTATGCATCGTCATTGCTATAACAAATCAAAATCAAGCATTTACACAATCGAAGAAAAAATTTATACAATACTAAGAATGATTTCCATATCTTTACAAGTGTTTTCTCTGAGCTCTAATATGTCAGTGTATCATAGAGGTTGGAAAGTTGAGTAACGTTGTGAAAGACAGGTCAAGGACAGAGGTGCCCCTTCAAATTTACTTGTGAAATTACATACAGGTCAAGGTCACAGGCTCCATTAAGATTTTATTTGTGAAGTCTTATTTGATGGTTTCACAAAGGTAAAACTTTCTTGAAACGTTTCATCTTTATCATAATAAGCATATGCATGCAAACAAATAAAGTTTCAAAATACAAGTCTTTTTGTTAGAATCAGTGGAGTGTCTTGTCCTTTTTTCTTCTTTTTCTGTTTTTTGTCTCGAGTCTTGATAGTTTACACTTGGAAGAAAAGCAGGCAGAAAATGAATACAGGTGTTTATACCATGTTCAGTAAAAGCAACTATACTTCTTGAGTTGTCATCTACAACTTTTTCTACGAATAAAACTTGTGCCACAGGCTGTCGTGATGTGCTTTCTGTGTTGTCCACTAGGTGTCAGCAGTGCATAGAGAGATCACATGTCCTTTATTATGCTGAGTATCTGGAAAATAAAGGAAAATATTAAGGAGTTTATTTGTTATTTATTGAAGTAGGAGAGGATAGAGGGAGTATGACAAAAAAAATGATTGCATGCTTGGTTGTGTGTGTAAGAGAGAGAGAACAAGAGAGAGAGAGGAAGAAGATTGGGAATAAAAGAAAAAATAAAGAGCAGAGAAACAAAGGGATTAAGTATCATTTTTAGATATTTAATTGGCAATGCATATTTTCTTTGCCACACATGTATATCAGATATGGATTAAGCTTATGGTAGAAAATATTTTCAAGTAGAATTATTTATCTTAGACAACCAAGTTAAGTATTGTCTTTCTGGCAGAGAATTTTTTAATTAAATATTTAAATCTTAAATTAATTTAAATTTTACTATACCAGACCTGTAGCAGACAAGACATGACAAAGTCTTTTTTTATCTAATAATTACCGATACAATAAAAATATATCTGACTCAAAAACATACTTACATAAAATATCTCTGAAAGTTTACAATCATGGATACATTCTCAGATGGTTTTCTTTTCATAATAATCTCTCAGCACTGCGTAGACATGTTTTAATGTATCTTCGGCACTGGATTGGGCTTTTTTCGAAACGTCTTTGGAGGCGGCCTTTGATAAGTTCTCGTCTTTGGTGTCTGCATCGTAGAGCCGGCGCAACAAAGAGACCAACTTTGTATCAGAGTCTGAAGACGCGTCTGAGTTGGAAACTGTAAATGTAATTGAAATAATGGAGTGAAATTATCTTGTGACACAAGTATAAAGATTTATATCACCTTGTACATCATTTTTATGTAAGGAAGGAGAGGCTCCATTTCAAACCTCTCTCTTTCAGTGAATAAAGAAGCGAATGAATGAATAAAGAAACTAAAAACTAATTAAGTACAATATTATAAAATAACAAATAAGTAAATGAAAATGAATAAGTGAAGAAATAGAAAAATAAATAAATAAGTAAACTATTGTATTTTGAAAACAAATGGTTAGGAGGCTAATATGCATGCTTATACCATCTAGAGGTTCTGTTTCTTTAGAAGGAAAAAAGATAAAATGTGATTGTCATGTTACACACATATTCAATCAGATGGCTTTCTGACATTCTTGTTTTTCATATGAATAGCAACTTCTATCAAAATAAGGTGATAAAATGTAATTGTGACAAATATTAATGATTCTTTTTGACACATGAAACGGAGAGAAATGAAGCAAAAGGAAATAGAAATTGAAGCATTGATCTGTCTGATATCAAGGAAATTGTGTTAATAAATATTCTCATGGTTAATTAAAACATGTGTATTAAACGCAGCGGTGCTAAATTGAGTGAGGTAATTGATGGAATATGCAGAATGAAGCAACTACTAATTATACATCTATACTGCAGATCATAAAAAGTTACACATCCGCTTTGAACGCAGTGATAACAAACATATAGCCTCTATCTGAGGGGACATAAAAGTGCCAACAAATCATATGGTGTCTGTCATTGATGTCTCTTTGAATAAGTCACGGAAGCAAAAGAATAATACTTCCAGAGCACCTTTAAGCAAAAACCTATAAAAATCGACTTGGAGTGCAAATTTTGTGACGGATTTTCATTACGTGAATTTTTGTGCTTTCAGTATGTGAATTAGATCGTCCAGACCCAGTATTCTTGGAGCTTTTCATTTGATCACATGGGCGCCTTTGACTCATGTCGTTATTGTCTTTCAAGCACAGAGTCTATTGTGTCCTGTCTCTTTGCTCAATAGAATGAATCCAATCCCACTTTGTCTCCCAAATCGGAAATTACAAATAAGACCGCCACAGCTAATTCAACTCAATCAGATGACGGAGTTTGCTTGGGATATTATATTGTTCTTCCTTCAATCTATTTCCAAACGACAAATAATGGAGTAACTGCTAATTCAGCTGAACCTGATGACAACGTTTCATGTGTAAATATTATTCCTTCAATCTGCGTCTGCTTAATTCTAAGTATTGTCCGTGGTCGCAGAGTTAATTACCGATGTTTGTCTATTGGATATTGAAGAGATAATGTGATGTTTATTCTGATACTGTAGATTTGGTTGAAACACTCACTCTTACATCAACTTCTTTTCAGTGGTTCTTAATTTTTTTGTCTTTTTCTGAATCTTACAAAATTATAAGGGAAGACAAGGAGTGAGTGTTTGTTGTAACTCATAACTCCTTTTATTTATTTTTGTATTTATGTAATGTAAGCAAGATTCCATAAATAGAAAAATAAATAAAAGGAGTTGTGATAAAATACTCAATATCCATCTGTCAGTGATTACTTTTTTCTATAATAGCCTATTTGATAAATATCAATGTCTTTCAAGTGATATATTTGTTGCCTTGATTGAACTTGTGACAAAATCATTTAATTATACAAACACTATTCATAGCACATACATGGATGATATATAAGGAAATTCAATGCATTATTAGCATTCTAAAAGTTGTCAGCTATCAAGATGTGGGTGACATATGTATCTTGTGATTATTAATTAAATAATAGTACATGCAAATAGAAGAGGTTTATTTGATGAATCGCAAAATTGGGGTCATAATTTATGATGTCCGTCGAAGCAATAAAGATGATGCATATTAATTAAGGACACCCACTTTGACTTTTTACTGACGTCAACTGACTTCTTGAAATAGAATATACATAGGTATGATTATAACTTTGCTTTGTATGAAAGTTCTTAATTGAGTGGAAATGTTGATTCTTTATATTTGTTGCAATATTTTGTTCGACTCTTATTTCTGTGGCATCATACAGGGGAGTGGAGGGGGGGGGGGTTTGAAGCTGTTGAAGGCCTGCAATACAGTAAGCATGATGCTACAGCAGGTCCTATGTACTCTCTCTGATATTGATATGAATGGTGACTTAAGGAAAAACAAGAGACTTGTGCTAAAACGGATGAAAGGCCCCTCCCCCCAAAAAACTCTTTTCAGATATTTTACAAAACTCCACAGGGGAGAGGGCGGTGGTGGTATAGTCCTGGAAAATCTTTTAATATCTTGTAGTGCTGTGACATTAGATCACTTTTACTGTCATACTCAAAACATTTATCATTATTTTATTAAAATGTTAAAGTATGTTTCAGTATATTTGTGTTCAAATTCTTCTAAGGATTCAAGAGCTGCAGCAGCAAATAAATAAATAAATAAATAAGTAAATAAATAGATAAATAAATAAATAAATAAATAAATAAAAGGAAAATAAAGCTTGCAGCATTATATCCTATTGCTAACATATGCACATTTAATAACAAACAATACCTATTCTAAGTGGGAATCACTTATATTCCATTTCTACTGTAAAGGAAGAAAGAGTAGTGGGGTGGGGGGTGGGGGGGAGACAGCATGCCATCAAATAAAGCTCCAGTAAAAAGGCAAGAACTTTGTCCGTATCTACTGTTTATCAAGTGTGGTACACCTGGCCCATTTCACATTCAAGTCATTACTTTTTAATGTGCAGTCCATTAGAACTAAAATGTTACAGTAGCTTAAATGATGAAGGAACAAATTGATTTTAGGGTAAGTGGGAAAGCAGCTGATGCAGATCTATTTCATTTCGAGCCTTGCTTGTTGATGGAATGAATAATAGAGGCCATCAGAGATGCTCTTAACCCACAGGCCCGGCATCCATTTTTGATTAGTTCAGGTAAAAAAATGAACCAAAATTAACAAAAAGGGACACAGTAGAAGTCATAAGTAATTCAAGTAATCCGGATGAAAAGGGTTTTAGATTTGCTTGCTCAGTTTTCATTTGTTTGGTCAATTTATCGGTAGAAATGAGAGAAGACCCTGAAATTATCAATTATACCTTTTATTGTTGATTTCAGGGAAATGTATTCTTTTAACATGTTCAAGGTAATTTCAGTTTGAATAATTTCATAGAAATTGATTGATTTGTCGATTCCAAGAAAATGAACATTGTTTTGTGGTCATGGCATGATATGAATTATTTAAGCTGATACTCACAATATTTAAAACCCGAAAGCTTGACAGAGTGCTTTGAATTTTAGTAGTTTTGAGTACCGAGTAGCATTTTAGATTATTCATATGAGAACAATATGTTGATTCCTGTGCAGTTTTTGCTTATTTTGAAGCAATTATTTGATTTGCTTGCTTTAGTTCTACAGAATTTAACTAAATTTGAATGCAACTATAGTTGTCATTTTATTGTATTTTTTTTCAATGTGTTTTTCATTATTTATTTATTTATTTATTTATTTATTTATTTAGTAGGAAAGGATTCATTGGCAGTCTAGTGAGTCATTCAATGATAGTCTTCTGCCTTATCAGGTTGAATCAGAGAGGCCAAAAAGCAGTTATGTTAAAACAGTTATCTGATGCATCTCTGTAAAATCATTCATTTGTAATTTGTATATTAGATTTATTGGATTTCTTTTTCATATCTTGGCAAAAGATAATGCAGGATTTGATGATATAATATTATTTCCATGCATGCTACTACTAATACAATGTACAAGTGCATTTTACACACTTTGCACTATATTGACCCATGCAGGGGTAGATTGAGGCGGTCTTCTGGGTCTTCCGGAAGACGGTTAAATTTCTAAGTTTACATTGATGAGTACCTAATTTTTTCTGTCGGAAGACGGTCCAAAAATGGAGGATGGATCAACAAAGATAATGTGGAAGACCGTCAGAAATATCTCTGGATCCGCCCCTGCCATGAAATTAGCTTTGAATTTTAGAGAAATTGAATGTCACCTGATATTGAAAAAATGCTAGCATTTTCAGTCTTGATAGGTACTCATCAACATAGTGAAATTTCTTATTGTTTATTTGCTGTGCTACTGAGAGGAGGTCTAGCTCATAGAAAAAACTATTTCAAAGTATTTAATTTATAATTTCTGCTTAAGGGTACTTTTTGTCTACTCATAGTAAAATAACCCAAACAGTTTAAGAAACCTAGAGACCATTTCAGAGTATTTATGTTTTAAAAGTAATTTTCCTCTCCTTTCTTTGTAAAACAAAAACTTTTAAATATATCAAGTTTTTTTTTAACAAAGTATCCAGCAAAATTAAAATTTAAAAAAATCAAACATATATAGGAGTGCAAAATTTTCTTTTTTTTTTCTTTTTTTTTTTTTTTTTTTTTTTGTACACTCCTGTTACAACACAAACATTTATAAAAACCTAATAAATAATAATTTAAAAGTACTCACATTTGTACAATGGGGCTCTCTTTCCATACCACACTGCCGAATTTGCTGTGCAGATTAGGGCCAATAGGCAAATAAGTAGCACTGGTCCATTCATATTGCCTGTTTCAAGCTTGCACTAACTCTACGACCTTAATTTTTTCAGTTATCAAAAATGATTCCGATTATCTCAAGTCAAAAGTTACAACTTGCTTCTTCTACTGTATGATTTCTAAGTTTTTCTTCCTCTGATAAGATAAAGAACTAACTGCAGGATACTCAGAGCTTCAAACTTGCTCCTCTGCACTTGCTTCAAAGTTAAAGAATGAAGTCCTTCGAGTCTCTGGTGATTAGTTATTATGTACTTTTGCTCTTCAATGATTTAGTCTGTCACAATTGACGCGCTTCTTCTGTACACGGTTTATTAAACCAGTAGTTATTGGTTTCCTAATCAGCCACGGGTTATAACTGCCTGCATACATTGGCGGGAGTCTATTTTATACGCTTAATGACTAACTATGACAGTC